ACCGAGGTGGCCAGGACTCTTCTTCCCCTGCCCCCGGAGGCGCAGGCGCTGTCTCAGGCTGCCCCTGTGGGAACCAGACCCAGCGTCCTGCTTCCGCCCAGTGTCCTGCTCCCTGGCCGAGCAAGGTCAGCTGTGCTAGTGACTTTTGTGTGGCCATCTGCTGAGGGCGGTCTGTATTTCCCAGCCATGGGAGAAGCACAGATAAGTGACAGAAATGGCCTGCTCACATCCTTCTGTTTGCAGGGAGGGACAAAGACAGTAGTATTCAGTTCTTTTTTTTTTAAATTTGTATGTGTGTGGGGGCTGGTGAGATGGCTCAGTGGTCTAAAGCACCTACTTAGAACAAGCTTAGCAAAGCACAGGGACTGCAGTTCAATCCCCCAGCACCACATGCCAGCCAGCCCAGCCCCCTGGTGGGCTGAGCTGGCCACGCACACACACACACACACACACACAGAAATAAATAAATAAATAAAAATTTGTGTGTGTGTGTGTGTGTGTGTCGCCAGCTCAGCCCACCAGAGGGCGGGGCTGGCTGGCATGTGGTGCTGGGGGATTGAACTGCGGTCCCTGTGCTTTGCTAAGCTTGTTCTAAGTAGGTGCTTTAGACCACTGAGCCATCTCACCAGCCCCAGCAGTATTCAGTTCTTTAAAAAAAAAAAAAAAATTCTGACACAGGGTTTCACTAAGTAGTTCAGGTTGGCCTAGAACTTGTGATTCTCCTGCCTCAGCCTCCTGGGGCCGGGATTAGATGTGTACCACCATACCTGGCAGTCCTCACTCCTGAGAGACTGAGGCTCACATGCCAGACCGCAGCCTACCTGCCTCCCCTGTCCACTCCCCAGACCCACTGGGACCTAAGGAAGGCAGAGGGACAGTGCCAAGTGCCTCCCTGGACACACCTGCTCACAGGGATGGACGGCTGTGGCCAATACTCAGCTGCCTATGCGGCCACAGGTGGGGCCCACAGAATGGCCAGGTTCAGCCCGTTTACACCAATTAACGACTCATTTTTATGGGTGTCCTGGCTGGCCTTGTGCTCCTCCCAGCTACACAGGAGACTGAGGCATGTGGACCCTTGGAGATGGGGGGGGGAACCCCTTCACTTTGTTCCTACCGTTGGCTGGTTAGAAAAGGGGGTCTGGGGCTCATTTCCCTTTAGTCCCCAGGGTTGCAAGCCAACGACAAATGAGGCGTCAGAGGGGACTCAAGGACAAAGCCACAGTCCTGGCCCAGCTGGTAAAAGGCCTGACTTCAAGGTACACTGAGCGCTGCCAGGTTAAATTTCTGTCCAGATCAGAGCTTGACTTTTTTTTTTTTTTTTTTTTTGTGGTACCTGGGATTGAACTCAGGCCCTTGCGCTTGCCAGGGAAGCACTTATTCCACTGAGCCATCTCCCCGGCCACAGAGCCTGACTTTAACACCAACATACAGACAGTGTGACTCCAACTTCGTGACACAGTGGCATCTATGAGACCACCCCATTGCAGATGGCTCAGTTTGTCCCCAGCCTCCTGATATGAAAGGGGATGCAGTGGCCTTGCAGTCTTCCAGCTGGGGTGGCCTAGGGACCACCGAGGCCAGCAGGCTCTGAGTGGAAGGAGGGAACAGGGCAGCCAGGTCCCTAGAGCCACTGCTGGAGACAGAATCCTTGCCCATGGTGCCCAGCAGGGACTGCACAGGATACACAGGGGACCTGGAGCACAGACTGTGGGACACAGGGCTGAGGGGGGACATTCCTGGTGACTTCATATGGGAAGCGGCCCAGCAATCCCTGCCACAGAGGTCCCACCCCATCTGTGACCCTGTCTGTGACAAGCCCTCTGCCCTCATCCAAGCAGCCCGTGCAGGGGTGGAGACTTGAGGTGGGGAGGTGGGGAGTGCTAAAATCCATATGAATTTCCCAGGCTGGTCTTCATCTTGGAATCCTCCTGCCTCAGCCTGCCAGAGTGCTGGGATTATAGGTGAGTGACAGCGCAAGCAGCCAAGTACCATAAGCACTTACAAAGAAAAACTGTGAAAATTACAAATAAGTAAAACTTACAGTAAAAAATACTAAGGCGCAAGGCACATTCTCAAGGGTTTTACTTTAATTGGTCAAGAGTAAGGCTCAGGTATCAGTTATTTTAAAAATGCCCCTTCCTGACATTTAAACATACATTCCAATGTGCAAATAGAAGTGTTAAGAAATTTGAGGGGACCAGGCATGGTGGTATACACCTATAATCCCAGCACTGAGGAGGAAGCTGAGGCAGGAGGATCTCTGGGAGTCTGAGGCCAGCCTGGGCTAATAGTAAGTTTAAAGGCAGTCTTAACTACAGAGAACCCTTCTCAAAAAAACAAAAAGAAATTTCATGGGTACTTGCCTAGCCTGAGTACCTGGTTCATCTACCAGAACCACCAAAAAAGAAAAAAAAAAAAAAAAATGGTACAGGGAGCAGAATGCCACACCTACTTCATGTTAGATCAAGGTGAGCTCAAGGCCAGCCTGGGCTATGGAGCAGGACCGTGCCTCAAAACCACAAAAGAACACTGTGCAGGCCGGGACAGTGTAGGGTTTGGAGGCCATCCTCAGCAAGGCATGGCCAAGAATCCACAGAAGCCCGGGAAGGCCTGCTGTCCCTTGCCCCACATCCCCACCACCAGCCTCCCTCGGCGGGGTCTCTGGCCTCCCCAACCTACTGCACTGCATGGGCCGGGCCTGACCGTGTGCAGAAAGGTCAGAACAGCACAGGAAGTGGATTGACCTGTCTGAACGCAGCGGAAGGCCGCCCCTGCTCTCTGGTGTCTCCTCAGGGTCTCTGGGCAGCGGCTCTCCCGACACACTGCACCCGGCCCCTCATGCAGCCCAGCAGCTCTGCCCAGCCACCCGCAGGCCAAGTGCCCTGTGCCTCCTTGCGTGGCCAGGCTGGAATTCTGGATGCTTAGCCTTCTATTCTTTTCCGGGGAAGTTTCGGATCCTCTCTTGGGGTTTCACTATGTAACTCAGGCTCTCCTTGAACGAATTAAGAAGCACAGACTGGCCTCAAACTCAGGATCCTCCTGCCTCAACCTCCCCGCTGGACACTCTGCCTTCTGCACCCAGGGAAGTAGATGATGTCACTTCTTGCCATGTGTGGGACCAGTCTCCACACTACAGGACCCCGAGGCCCTGTGGCCTAATGCCACACACCCACATCCTGAGCGACACTCCCACCCTTCTAACACTGTACTACAATGAAGATTTTTTGGTCTTATCTACATGTTTGTTTTGTTTATACAACGAAGACATTTTTTTCTATGTCTCTATCCAGTCTTTACATAAAGTTCCCGGATAAACTCCCAGCTGAGTTCAATTCCTGGAAAAATTCTATTCTGAAAATTAATCCGTATGCTTTCTGTTGTCCCCAATCCAAAACTCTACAATCCAGAATATTTTTGTTCCTAAACTGCCAGAAATCTTAGAGCCAAATTCACCGTCCTAGCGATGTAATCTGCTCAGTTCAGCCTTTAAATCCTCTACTGCCTTTGCTCTGCTTTTTATCCAGAGCTTTTGAGTTTGAAGTTTTAGTCCAAATTTCCTCACCCTGGGGCTGGTGAGATGGCTCAGTGGTCTAAAGCACCTACTTAGAACAAGCTTAGCAAAGCACAGGGACCACGGTTCAATCCCCCAGCACCACATGCCAGCCAGCCCTGCCCCCTGGTGGGCTGAGCTAGCCACACTCAAAAATAAATAAACAAATAAATAAATAATTAAAAAAAAAAAAAAAAAAACAAATTTCCTCACCCTGATCCCAAACCAGACGCCAGCACCTACCTCCTGACTTCTGGAACCCTTCTGTCTTTCCTGTTTGTTTGTTCTGAGACAAGGTCTCTTCACTAGTCCAGGCTAGCCTTGAACTCACTGTGGTGCCCAAGCTGGCCTCAAACGTACCCCTGCCTGCCTCAGCCTCCCTACAGCAGGCACCACAGGCCTGCACCACTGAGCCCCGAATGAAGATGGACTTCTGATCTTTCTGTCGCTTCTGACTTGGGGAACTCTTACTCTCAGCGCCTTCCTTGTACGCGCGCCCACACACGCACGCACACACACACACACACACACACACACATGCACGCCCTCCACCCTGGTCGTCCCCGCTTGCTTGATGACTCTGCCTGTGCTGTCCCCTCCGCAGGAAGCAGCCGTTCCCGCTTTGTTTCCCAGGCTCGGCCCAAGCCCGTCCCCCCTACCCCGACCGCCTAGTCCCTTGCTCCCCACTTGCAGGCAGGCCAGGTTGCGCGTTCCTGAAAGGAGGCGAGGCCGCGACTCGTCTGTCTCCGCAGTCGGGTAGAGCCGGAGCTCAGGTCTCCCGGCCCTCCAGCTTGCCCTCTCCGCGCGGAGCCCTGCTGGCCCGGCCGGGCCCCGCCTTCCTCCCGGGTCCCCCACCCAAGCCGCGGCCCGGGGCTGCAGCCCTCCCCGCAGGGCCGCTCGCGCGGGCGCGGATCCTCTTCCCGGGAACCGCGGTGGGCAGAGCGCGCACGGCAGCCCGGGCCGTCGGCAGCTCCGTGTTGCACAAGCAGCAGTCCGCGCCCAGCGGGGCGAGGCGGGGTCTCCGCGCTCCCTTCTCCATCTTGGCCCAGGAGGGGGCTCTGCTGGCTTCCCGACTTGCGGCCCCAGGCCCGGGCCCCGGCGTGGTTCCGCTCGGAACACACTCACACCCTGCGCGGTGCGAGCGACGCGCCCCTGGGATCCTTCAGCTCCCCACTCTCTCCAGGGAGAAAAGTGAGGACTAAGATCCCCTCCTCTCTACCTTCCAACTCCAAAATCTGAGAACTTGCGGTCGCGGGGAAGGGGTGGGGGGCCAGCTGCTAGTTCCCGCGCGCTCCTTCTGGCTCTCCGGGGCCCCGCGACCGCGAGTCTCCGAGGCGCGGGACTGGACTTCCAGGCTGGGCCCTGGGACCCCCATCCCGAAGGCTGCGACCGCGCCCGGTCCAGGTCCCCACCCTGCCCCGGGGCCCGGACGCGGACCCGGACTCACCTCCGCGCGGGCGGCTCCTGGGAGCACCTCGGGGCCGGCGGGCGGCGAGCCCCCGGGCGCC